ATATTGTTGCTTAGCAAATAAATAGTGTGGTTGTCTTTTCTTTTCTTCCCGTTTTTGATAATCAATTTAATTAATTGACCAATGTAAATAATTAGAAATGAACTAATATTGACTAAAGGGATTGTTTATTTAAGTTTTTTATTAAAGTCTATGAAACATTCTGATTCATTTGGTTAGTATAATAGTTGATCAAAGTTTTGGAATTCAATCATTGAATATATTAGATATGTGAATCTATATATAATCAGTATGTGAATGAATTCCAGGTATTCAAAGTTTAAAATTAACAATTGAATCTAGTTGAATAAACTTTCAGACTATTCGACAGCATACTGACAATATTGAAACGGATGAGATCTAAAATATTTTGAGTTTCGTGACGAGGAAGTTATGTTTTGACTATTAAGTATGTGGTACTCTTCAGTGGTCCTCCACAAAAGAGATTCGAACCCAGGACCTACCAGTATCGAGCACAAGCGCTTAACCTCTAGACGACTGGGTTGGCCGGCATCCAATAGTGTTAATGTCTAACTTCAAGTAATCCACGAAATTGAGTGATGCATCCAACATTGTCCTCAGTGAGTTAGTATCTCACAACAGACCCAGTTGAACTCCACTGCTCACTACTTCTCACTAGAACTCCAGGAAAGGCCTCTCCAAGCCAGCGGGATCGTGGATGCACACTGCTGAGGAGCTCCAAAATAAAACGGAACGTCCGTTCAGTGCTTCTAGTTTCTCCATGTTGGTCTAGCTTCAACTGACTCATGATTTTAACTATATATATAATAGTGCTTTAATGATGAACTGATTGTCAAATAGATATGCTTCACATAAATCGTTCGATTTGTGTAAGGGTTGGGATACCACCCGAGTGCCCAAAACGAAGGAAGTAGTTTTCTTAGAGGGCCACACCTGGAACCTGTCGACATAAAAGTCGAATCCACAAGGCAGTGGAGCAATGTCAGAAGGCGCAGTCTCATGGTAGCCGGTGTCCAACGATTGATTCATACGCCATTTGTTCTTACAGAATACAGTAGCCCATGTTTACCATAGGTTTCAAATGAGGGTTTTCTAATTCCCCTAGGTAAACTCTCCTTGTTCACTAACCCGGTTAAGGCTCTGGATATTCACTTTTCGTCCTATCAATTTGGTTAACAACAACCCCGCCACGAGAAGGCATTGAGTAGGACTTCCTTGACAGTGACTGTATACGCGTGGCCATATGAAAGCATTTCGAGAGAGAGAGAGAGAGAGAGAGGGCAGACTCTCCCCTTTCTTGGCTGGATCAGGGAATTTACAATATCACCCTATTTTAAACTTACTTTGAAAATTCTACTATTCAATATGTTCACTATAACAATTTAATAACATTTTCTTTCAATTAAATTAAGTAGTATAACAATAATAAACCAATATTAATATGAATTATATATATTCTAATCAAAAGTACCTCGTGATAATGATAACTACCTACTGTGAACATAGAAAAAATAATATAAGCAAACACACCCACACACCCATATAGGAAAAAAAGAGAAAATAATTGACATGGTAACATAATTTAAAACTTAGTAATTAGTGTAAAATTGATGCCATAAACCCACTATTTCCTGTTTTATGATTAAAATTTTTCTCTCTACTTTTGTTGTTTATTGTGATTTCTTTTCTGTTTCTATGTCATTACAATAAAGTAGTAGTTCAGTGTCATAATAATAATGTACATTATGAGAGTTGACTATTTTCTTTTCTCCCCCCACCCCACCTTCATTCTATTCTTGTTTTGTTTTGTTTTTTCTTTTTCATTTTTGTTTTACTATTGATATGAGAAAATAATAATAACCCAGACATAATAGAATATTTGACATTTTTATAAATTAGAAAAATAAATGTAGTTTGAGGTATATTTAGATGATAAGCATAAATGAATAATGATTTGTGTTGAGATTTAAGTTGGGTGTTTCGTCCTAATTTTTTAGGACTCTTCATCTGAGAACGTTTATTTTGACATCAATAAGATGGTATGATATTGTCAATGGGATCATCACTTTAATAGTTTTATATATGATTCTAGTTATATCATATGATTGATTGTTATTGTAATACATATATTGACTAGTCTTGAATACAACTATCGACTTAATTCACGTAAGTGAATAACGGAATCAAATAAGTCAAATGAGAGAATGAATTTTTTGAATGTATATATTTTGTACACACAATCAAAGGAACGAAGTGATGCCCAGCGAAGAAGGAGAGTAAGCTAACTAATAAATCAAGCGTTAATCAATATTTATACCTGAACAAAAATAAGTTACAGACATGTGATGAATAAGATACGAAGTGTACACACATATATGCTCATATAAAATCAATTAGGGTTGATAAGTGTATAATTGACAAGATCAAAATGTGACTCAAGAAGAATGGACAAATTGATCTATCCAGAAGTTAAAGTCAACTACATGGGCTTAACATAATGACCGACATTACATATCTACATCACAATGTTAGTGTTCACTACAGGACTCGAACTCAGTACCGTTCACTTAAAACACCATCTCAATTATCCACTTAGTTACTGATTCAAATAAACAATATAAGGTAGACTGTTTAAATTTGAACATGGATTTAATGTTAATATTTGATCATAACAACTGTTATGTGAATCATATTCTTATAATGAATTCTTTTTATTTCTATATTTAAATGTTTTTGTGTTGAGGACGTTAGATCCCCAGAATTCACTTGGGAAAGGACCTAATTTTGTCGTTGTATTTAGAAAATACTCGATATACTCGATATCATAAGAGGTCATGAATGGTTACCTTTATAGATTTTCAATCAAAAAGTAGATAGTTTATATTACAAATCGTAGTTACTTATATATTGGATAAACATTGGGAAGCTCTATACAGTTGTTTTGTCTTGGTGTATTACTGTCGCTAGAAAATGCATGATAATTTTTTACTTCGAATTATGCAACCTACTTACTTACTCCTTTTACCCCTCGTCGAGGAGCATAGGCCATTCACTTTGGTAGCCAGTCGAATTCTATTATAACTAACAACTAGATGCTTATTTACTTACTTACTTACTTACGGTTGTCACCCATCATAAAAGAGCATAGGCCGCCCACCAGCATTCTCCACCCAACTCTTTCCTGGGTATTCCTTTCCAGATCTTTTGAGTTGTTATTCATTCTTTTCATATCTGCTTCTATTTTCTGACTTAATGTATTCGTTGGCCTTCCTCTTTTCTGCTTCCCTTCATGATTCCAAGTTAGGGCTTGCATAGTGATACAGTCTCGTGATTTTTTTAATGTATGTCCTATCCATTTCCATCTTGTTTTCCTAATTTCCACTTCAGATGGAAGTTGATTTTTTCTCTCGCACAGTAGACTTTTGTTGATAATATCTGGCCAATCGATGTACAATATCTTTCGTAGACAATTATTTATAAATACTTCTACCTACTTGATGATGGTTATAATAGTTTATCAAATTTCATCTTTATAAAGTAGAACATTATTCATGACAGAATAATCTTTCTATTGAATTCAATCAATTCACAATCGTAGATACGCACTGCTGAGGAGTCCCACAATTGGACAAAACAGCCGTCCAGTGCTTTCGGGTTTCCAAAAATGGTTTGAAATCGATCGATTCATGATCTCAATCAAGAAATGTAAAGATCGATTTAGCCTTTGGTTAAAAATGATTGAAATAAGATAATATAATTTGTACTATTGTACTTTTAATCAATTTTAGATAACTTAAAATGTTCCTCTAAGCAAAATGATTATCAGGTATCTTTAGTGATCCTTTTTTTGTTTGTTCTATTAAGTCAATACTTCCGACCAACAAAAAAAAGCAAACGTTTTTTTTTACATTCAATTACCATTTTAGTGTAAATACACTTGAATTTACAATGAAATAATGACTAATAAAACCAAAATAGTAATTCATTCGATGTTGCCTCATTTGTATCTTCTTATTGTTGTTTAGAATTACAATGGACATATGTACATACTGTGTGGATTGCATTAATATTGCCTGAAGTCATAAGATTTATAAGCAAAGATAAATAGTGGTTAACAGTGAAAACTAGGAGGCACATTTCGTCCTATTTGTAATTTGTCAGCTGGATTTACCTGTATCCCTGGAGTTAATGTACACTCTGAGACACGGATTCAGTACCGTTCGCTTTAAATGTCATCACGTTATCCATTTAGCTACTGAGTCCTGATAGCCACTTGCTTGTGTAATGACGTGAAGTTTAAATTCACTTGGTATTGTTTACTTGAATCTTCCCGTTGATGTTGAGGACTATTAAGTTTATAACTCGATTGAGTTTGAAGCAAACGGTACTGGGTTCGAGTCTCAAAGTGAACATTGACTATGAGATGCAGGTACATCCAGTTGATGAAACCTAAATGGGATGAAACGCGCGTCTTGGATTCCACTACTAGCTACCATCAATCTTTTCTTAGAATATTTATCATTATTACTTCAGTGTTTGATTATGAATTCTATGATCAAATATCCTTTGATCTTCATTTTTTTGTTAATTGTTAACAAATAATATTATTCAATCAAGTGAAACGATTTATTGGTTGTATTCATTACAGATTAATCTTCATTAAGCTTAGTTCTCACTAAGGTTGTGTATACTGTATTGAACATAGTAGCATCTAACTTGTTGAATGTTCTTCTTAAAACCCACGTGGTTTTAAACCCCTTAGCTACAACCTCCCGGAAGTAGACCGTGATCTTAATATCATGGCTCACTGTCACCCCAATATCCTTGAGAGACCAGATCACGCATATATGCACTTCCCCCATTCTGTACCTATTCATCTTTGTAACTGTGAATAGTTAGTACCATGCAACCTGGAGAAAATGTGATATTAGTCGAATGAAATGACATTTTATACATGTATTACCAGCATATGCACATTTAAATATAATTTAATTATCTTCTCTTATCTTTTGCATGAATAGCTCATCTCCCATTACAATGTTGGATACCTCAAGAATTTTCACGTAGTTGGGAAGAATATGCTGAACATTATTGTTGGGTAACAAATACATATTTTGCTAATGTTCAATCAGCTATTCCACCTGTTAATAATCGTACAACAGTTGTACGTTATTATCAATGGGCTACATTTGTATTCATATTACAAGCTGCTGGATTTTTTCTACCATGTCTTATTTGGAGATTACTTCAGGTAGATTCAAGTTTTAAACACAAATTGGTCAATATGAACCTTGAAATCTTAATTTACCGTTGATACTATTAAGTTAGAGTTAAAAGTATTTTAGTGTAGTGAATGAGAACACACAAAAGTGGGAACAATCGAATGTATTTGACTACAATATTACAGAATATCTTAGTAAAATTTGGGATTCATATAGTAGATAATTCATTTGCAAAATGTTAATCAATCATATCAGACTTCATTGTTTTTTTTTCGTTCTCACATCAATCCTTCTCTGTTCTCATTCCCTTCTCTTTGACCTTCATCTTCTGTCTCCAAGAATTTCACTTTCGATTGATGATACATACTACTTATATATCTGTCGACATCAGTCGCATACATCACAATAGTAGTACTTAACGATAAAATTACAAAATGTTCATCATGGTTTGGTGATTGCCAATTATATGTTAACAGTTCGGGAATAGATATCTTAATAATGTTCATTTGGTGAGACTATAATTTATGGAACATCTTTGAGCGACTCTGAAGTGGCCTTGATAATAAATAGGACCAAATGAAGGTTATGAAACATTGTGGGGAGTGAGATTTATGATTTACAGTTAATGCCTAGGGTTAAGAATTAGTTTTAGGTTTCTCATCATGAATTTACATCAGCTATAATGCCAAATCTCTACTTAGCTAAATGTGTAAATGAATTTCGCGCCAAAATCCGAGACCTGTTATCTTGCACGTGATTGGTTCGTCCATAAATTATAGTCTCATTTTTCATTCTTTTCGATGTATATTGTCAGAAGCTATGTTGTCTCTGTTTGAACTCTTTTGTAACTTGTACAGTGAAATGTCATAAACTTTTCATAAAGGCAGTTCAATAGTTTATGAGACTAATAGCCATTATGATGTGTTTTGAAACATACAAACAGAAAACATATAGCTAGTTGAAAGATCCAGATGGCAGTAACAAGTAGCCCAGATATACAGTCAGGCCGCCTGACTGTATAGTACTAAAATAAACTGAATATGACACGATAGATTTTCATTGACTTATCATTTTAAAGTTTGATAACCCTTTTAATTCAATGTCACAATCTTCAGATTTGTTTTGTTATTAAGGCAAATATCATAAACATGTAGATATGATGCATAGGAATTAACATAACTATACCAGACCATTATGGTGTTGGTTACTAATTAACAATCTATAATGAACAAGAACAAAAGTTGGAACCACCAATTTATTGTTTCATTCGAAATTACAAACTATCTTGGTAAAATATGAGAACCGTTCATTGAATACGTCAATTGCAGAGTTTCATTATTTATCCTTCACATTTTATATGATTCTTTTAGTTTATAATTTCTTTCTATTTCCCTTTCGATTCTCTTCAACGTGATCTTCTTAGATTTCTGCTGCCAGGTATTTCACATCTCATAGTGTTACATACTACTTATGTCGACAGATATAAGTAGAATACATTAATCTATAACTGAAAACTGTAAGTGATTAAAAGGAAATGCTTTCAGTGTTAAAAATAAAACTTGTGTTATGATGGATAAAAATATATGCCAATGATTGTTAATGACCATGATTAGATCGTTGGGGACTGATCTAGATTACGATAGACATAGGATAATAGTGACTTATCATTGTATAGTAATCAATGTTATATCTGTTTAGTTCTTGTTGTACGGAGTTTCTAAATTCAAATTATTTACAGCTAAAAGACTAAGCGATTCGATATCATATTCATTACATTTTACTATTGGACAATTTGTGATAGTCGGTTGAAAATCATGAACCAGGATTTCACAGTACTTGAATATTGTCATCTTAGATGTATCTCTAGTTTTGGAAGAACCTATGATGTTTGCAGAGTTCAAATCTCCAACATTCATTGATATGGTCTCAGTCTAGCAGGAGGATAACTCAGTGATGACATTTGAGACTGTGAAACTAGATGACAAGAATTCAATCCACACAGGAAGCACTAGTTCTATCAGTACTGAAACTAGATGACAGGAATCCAATTCACACAGGAAGCACTGGCTCTATCAGTACTGCAGTACTGTAGATTGCTAAATAGTACCAACTATCACGAAGGTTTGACCCAGAGTGTTTTTTTATAACACATTCTAACCGCCCAAAATTTTGACTTAATAATACAAAATGGCTGAAGCAGTTTTCTGCAAACGAAATAATGTCAAAAGACAGAATAATTGCGTCATCATAATGCAGAATGGTTATTATGGTCGCTTGTATTGGCTGATATCAATACCAATGTAGAAATTGTAAGTTTCAAATAAACTGAGCATTAGGGAGAATTTGGTTGTTGCATTGAAAATCAAGAAACGACTTACATTAGGTCACAAAACGTAAGAGATATTAGTTTCTACTAATTGGGATATCGCTAAAGTATGGTGATTCTACTATTATGTTTTCATTGGTTATTTGAATCTAATCTAATCTACTCACACTGGCTAGTAAGCAGATACAAGTAGTTCAGAATTTTGTACATCTGGGTAGCTGTGTAAGTGCTGGTGGTGACGTGAGCGATGTGATCAATTCACATATAGTGAAAGCCGATCTGGCTTATACCAATGTGGATCACCTTTGGCGGCTTCATGATGTTAGTCAGACTGTAAAAGGCCGGGTAAGAGCAGTTCTGCTCTAGGCTTCTCCGAGTTGAGGATTTTAAACGACTCTCTGTTTGGTCATCGTTGTCTGCAATGGATTGCTGGCATTTAGTGGTAATATCGTATTAGTCATGCAGAGGTTCCTTATCATTTGTTTTGTCACAGCGATGATAATTCAACTAGTGTTACCATCTTGAAGCAGCAACTTAGGTGGCTTGGACGTGTGCTACGAATACATCCCACTGACAAGTTCTAAAGAGAATGAAATCCTGGTCTCAGATCCTACTACTAGTCACTAACCAACTTTGCTTAAGATGTTTATTATGAACGATTTATTTACTGCTATCTACTAAGTTAATGAAACATTTTGAATTTTCCCATTCAGAATCATTCAGGATTTCATGTTCAACGAATAATGCGTAGTGCAATTCGTTTAAATTGTGCTGAACCAGATTCATCACAATTAATTACATATGGATTGGCACGATATATTGATAATGTTATTTATCATAGATCATATAAACAATGGCGTGTTCATTCACCAAAGATAAAGTCACATTTCAAACATAAATCATCACAGAATAATTCTATGATCAAATCCACTCAAACGTCTACTTCTCATACATCATCCTCTACAACATTGACATCAACATCACATGATATTGGCACTGAGACAAAACTTGTTAAATTTGAAAATGAATCATTGCCAACAAAACAAACATCATATCCATGTAAAACTTTAACAAATGAATCTACGGTGTCAAGAAGTTATAAAAAACAACCTGCACCACAACCGCCAGTAACCACCACCAATTCTACTACTGCTACTACTACTAGTACTACTACAATTACTACTACCACCACCACCACTACTACTACTACTACTACTACTTCCACAACTACTGTTATTACTACTAATACTACAACTGCAGCTGTTATGGTCACTACAAAAAATTCTTTAAAAGTAAACTCTGATCAAATCATTTATACATCTAGTCCTATATTAAAATCTACATCTAATGTTACACAATCAAAATGGAATTCTTTATCATCAAAACAAAATGATCATAGAAAATTCTATTCACCTATATGTAATACATGTGGATTATGTTTTAATAATTTATCAATAATCGATAAAAAAATAAAAACAAGATCAATTCAATCATTAGTAACTACTTCTACAATAACAGAAATATCACCACCGCCACCATCATCATCATCACCACCACCACCAACAACAACAACGCCAACCGAGTTAACAACCGGTGCAAGATTATTCAACTCAAAGAATAATTCAAGTAAGAGATATTTAATGATTGCTATTCATCATATACATTAATGTAAATTATTCACTAAATAACCATTTTGAAAAAAAATATGAAATTCAATAGTTTAATAGTTATCCCATCTTTTTTAAAAGATAGTTTGATGTTCTACCAAAAGAATTGGAATGCCTATAATCGGTTTCCTATACTGTTCTAGTAATCCCTAGGCTGAATCTCTATAGCAACTTGAACACAAGGGAAAATGAGCGAAATATGAGAAAAAGAAACGTTTTTGTGTATAGAAAATCTAGGATATTTATCGCATTTTAGATGGAATTGGGCTTCCAAAAAATTCTAGAACGCTGCTAAACATAGCACCAATATATGTAATCATTCAAGGAGAAACACGACATGTGACTTTTCATTTTCTACATTTTTTAAACAAAACTTCTAATAAATACTAATTAATATCAGATGGGTTTTGTGGAGATTGTAGTAATTTCAATGGTTAAGATCATAAGTCAGTTGAAGCTAGACCACCATGGAAAACCTGTAAGCACTGGACGGCCGTTTCGTCCTAGTATGGGACTCCTCAGCAGTGCGCATCCACGATCCCGCACCCCGTGACATTCGAACCCAGGACCTAGCAGTCTTGCGCCAGGCGCCTAGCAAACTAGACCACTGGGCCGGCATCCAACGGTGTTAATGTCTATGTCTATGTCCATGAAGTTGCGTCACCGTACATCATTGTCTTCAGTGAGCTGATATCTCACAACAGACCTGGTTAAACTCCACTGGTAACGGCTTCTCACTAGAACTCCAGGAGTATCTCTTGAAGTCAGTCACTAGTGAGCAGATAATTATTATCAGAAGGGGTTTTGTGTAGATTTTAGATATTTTTCAGATAAAACATGGTTGTAACTATCTTAGTTACAAGGTGATTGATTTTTAGTGGTCATGTAATATCTGAATCCAATTAGATCATATGATTGATTGTTATTGAAATATATATATTGCCCAATCCTCATATATAATTATCGACTTAGATCGCGTTAGTGAATAACGGAATCAAATAAGTCAAACAATGAGAATGGATTTTGAAAACGTTTATTTTGTACACTCATTGATCTGGATAAACAATGAATGGGAAAAAGTGATGGAAGCGAAATGATGCAAATTGGAGAAGGCATGTATGCCAACTTCATTTAATCAAACGTTAATCGATATATGTAGTCACACAAAAATAAGTTACAGACTGATACGTCCAATGATCGAGTCCTGCGAGACGGAGTCGTGGATGCTTACTGCTAAGAAGTACCACAATAGGAAGAAACGGCCATCAAGTGCTTCTAGGTTTTCCATGGTGGTTTAGCTTTAATTGACTCATGATCTCAACTATTGAAATTACAGACATGTGTTGAGTAAGATAAGAAATTCACACACATACTCTCATATAAATCTCTTCCAGGTATCTGAACCTAAAAATAATAATTCAGACTAAGAGTCAATGATACGCCCTATCTTGACTGACTCTAGTTTTTTTTATCAATTTAATCCTACACAAACAAACATCACGTATTGAAGTAAGCAATAACTGAGCGAGTTGAATACATTTCATGTCTATCTCAGTTCATAAAGATTCTTTGCATCATCAAAGTAATTTGTCATCTTTATCTAATACACTGATTCTAGCTTTGGTATCTGAGATCTATAAAAACAAATAGTAATGAAGTTGTCTTCGTGAAAAAATCTTTTCAGTATTACTTTTTCATCTTGTTTTCTATTTACTTATCAAATGTTTTACTTCATGAAGCAATGTCATTTAGTTGTCAAGGTAACATTCACAATTTTATGAATAGTTTTTTAAAAACATTCTTATTCATCATTACAGCAGTTATTATTATTTCATTCTGTTCGAGCAAATAGTAGTGGGTACATTTTTTTCCTCATTCTCAATAGGTATCCCCTTAAATATCAGGTATAATATTTGTAGTAAAAGAAGTAATAACATATGCAGTTATTTAATAGATCAGTTACAGAATAATTCGATTGTTTCCTAACGTTGTTATGGCTTGTTCTACTCGAACCTACATTAGTTAATATAGTTTCTAAATAAATCACATTTTGACCATTTTAATCGTTCGCTTTGCCTCATCTTACTTCGTTTCGCCTCAATATTGAGTAACGCTTAATCAAAGTGAGTTGGCTAACATATTTTCTATAACTCGTTTTGTTTCGCTCTAACCTCTTTCCCTACCTTCACTTGGTCACTCTGATTGTCTATTCTGATCAATAATCGTATGCATGTATTACAAAACTTTATTCTCATATTTGACTTATTGTAAATCCATTATTCACCAATGTGATTTACATCGATGATTAAATAAGAAGATTAGAGATATTTATAGGTCGATAACGATAATGATCATGAAATGAAACTGGAGTCAGATAATAGACCAGAAAAACATTATAAACATTTGAAAATTTGATAATGTAGATGAACTATGGTAACATATTTATAATAATAATACCTTAAATTCAGTTGAATATGTTCATCATCAATAAACATATCTTGATGATAATGGTGGAGTTTTATTCTATAAGTTCCATAACTAAGCCATCCAGTTCAGAGAACAAAACTTCACCAAAATCATCCACCTAAACAACAAATCTCCATTATTTTAAGAAATTAATGATAATATAGTGATATCCACAAGGGGTAACAGGCTTAGGTATGTAAGTTGTGCACAGACCAAATTGAGACACTACGGATTATCGTTGAACAATCAATTGAATGGAACTCGTCACTATATTAAACTTCCTTGACTATGAAATAGCGTTTGACAGTGTGGATGGAAGAGCATTATGAAAACTTCGACACTGTAGTATACCCGACATGCGGAATTCATACGACGGACAACAGTGCAAAGTAGTTTAAGTGACAGACACATTCTAAGTATGGAGCGGAGTCATACAAGGCCGCCTACTCTCTCCCTTTCTTGTTCTTTTGGTGATTGACCGGATTATGAAGACATCTACATCTGAGAGGATGCATAGAAGACGACACATAGGTTGGATGCAACTAGACCTTACATATGACTTGTTCCTTCTATCCCATACACATCAACAAATTCAGGTCAACATAAACAGTGTAGCAGCAGTCTCTGCATCAGTAGACCTCAACGTACACAACGGAAAAAGAATGATCTTTAAATACAACACAATGAGAACCGACTAAATCACACGTGATGGAGAAACTCTGGAAGACGTGTAATCTTTCACGTACCTAACTGGATAGTATCATCGATGAACGTGAAGGATCTGATGCAGACGTAAATGCGGGGATTGGCGGAGTATGGGCAGCGTTCCTACAATTGTAGACCATATGAAACTCAAACTAATTATCTGTCAACCAATATCAAAGTCACAACCTTCAATACGGTAATTAATATAGTTCTACTGTACAGAGTTGAAACATGAAGAAGTTCCATAATCATCATCATGAGAGTACAAGTATTTATAAACAATTATCTACAAAAAAGGCAATGCTAACTTTAAATCCAGAAAAGAAACAGAAAAGAGGAAGACGGAAGAACATACACTACGTTAAGAATCGGAAGCAGACATGAATAGGATGAATAGTAACTGACACGAATTGAAAACAATTGTGCAGAATAGAGTTGGATGGAAATAATGTTGAATGGTTTATGCTCCTTTATGATGGGTGACAGGCGTAAGTCAGTAAGTAACTAAGTAATTGAGAGAATACTATTTGTTGAAAGAATATTATTACTTATTTACTTACGCCTGTTACTCCTAATGGAGCATTGGCCGCCAACCAGCATACACCAACCCACTCTGTCCTGGGCCTTCTTTTCCAATTCTATTCTATTGTTGTTCATTCTTCTCATGTCTATCTCCATTTCCCGGAGTAATGTGTTGTTTGGTTTGCCTCTTCTCCTTTGGCCTTGAGGATTACAAGTGAGGACTGGCCTTGTGACACAGTTGGGTGCATTCCTCAATGTGTGACTCATCCACAACCAACAATTCTTCCTGATTTCTTCACCCACTGAGATCTGGTTTGTTCTTTCACACAGCAAGTTATTGATGATAGTTGCTGATAGCCAACAGATCCGAAGTATTTTGTGTAGACAACTGTTAATAAACACTTGTATCTTCTGCATGATTGCTTTCGTAGTTCTCCAGGTTCCTGCTCCATATAGTAGAACTGTCTTGATTTCTGTATTGAAAATTCTGACCCTGGTGTTGGTTGACAATTATTTGAGTTCCAGATGTTGTTCATTTGTAGATATGTTGCTCTTGCTTTACCGATCCACGCTTTCACATCTGCATCAGATCCTCCGTGTTCATCAATGATGCTGCCCAAATATGTAAAGGTTTTTACATCTTCCAAATCTTATCCGTCAATTTTGATTGGATTGGTGCATGCTATGTTGTATCGGAGAATCTTGCTTTTCCCTTTTTGTACATTGAGAACTACTGTTGCTGAGACTGCTGCTACACTGGTCGTTTTCTCCCACATTTGTTTTTCTGTATGCGATAGAAGAGCCAGATCATATGCGAAGTCTAGATCGTCCAACTGCATCCTAGATGTCCATTGTATCTTGTGTTTCCCTTCAGATATTGACGTCTTCATGATCGAGTCGATCACCAGGAGAAAGAGATAAAAGTGATCATTACTATCTGATCAATATTAATATTAACTAGAAATAATCACATGAATTAAATTTGAATTTCCCGTGAAAATTCAAAAGGAAAGAAAAAAAGAAAAAAAATGGAGAAAGAAAAACAAAAAAAAATAATTAAATGAATTTACTAAATACATTTGGAAACTAAGTAAGAAAACTTCTCAGTGGGTGTGAACAGAGTTAAAAAGAAAAAAAAACGTTTTTTTTTTATTTTTGAAGTTAAAAAGTTCACAAGTTTTCTTTTCTTTTTGTTTCTTTTAAAAAATCGATTTTTGAAAATTCATTAAATTATGTTGAATAAAACAACAACAACAAAAAAACAGC